TGGAAAAACGAAAATCCAGACCTGTGTTTTTTCATCAAAAGTCTTTTGCTAAGTTCTTGTTCTTAAATCTTCTTCATCCAAAAATCTGTCAATTGGTATCAGAGCCAATGTTCTTGAGGGACCTGTGAGAACAAAACAGTGAGAGGTGTGTGTGAGAGAGAGTAAACACGAGAGTAAGTGAGGGAGAGAAGCTGTGTTAGCAAAGAAACATAGCCATGGCTACAAACAACACATCAACAGGATCTTTCTCCAATCCTCCTCTGTTCATAGGCCAGAACTACACCATGTGGGCTATCAAAATGAAAGCATTCCTAAAAGGCAACGGTGTGTGGGACTCAGTAGAAAATGGCTTTAATTCTCCCAGGCTACCTAACAACCCAACTGTAGCACAGTTGAAGCAACATGCAGAATATGTTCAAAACTCTTATAGAGCCCTTTCATACATCCATAATGGAATAGTAGACTCGATCTTTCCGAGAATCATGAGGGCAGAAACAGCAAAAAGTGCTTGGGACACTCTTCAAAAGGAGTTTGAAGGTGACAATAGAGTGAAAGACAACAATCTGCTTACACTAAAAAGGCAATTTGAAATGTTAGCCATGAAAGAGACAGAGATAGTGCATCAGTACTCAACCAAGTTGATAGACATCGTCAACCAAATCAGACTTCAAGGTGAGGATTTTCCAGATAAAAGAGTTATTGACAAGATAATGGTTAGTGTACCAGACAAGTTTGAATCAAAGATCTCAGCAATAGAAGAGTCTAATGACTTGAATCAGCTTACCATTAATGAGCTCATTAGCAAGCTAAAAGCTCATGAGCAAAGGCTGTCCATTAAAGGTGCAGAAGTTCGTGAAGAAGCCCTTCAAGCAAAGGAAAAAGGGAAGCAAGCAGTCGAGACACCAAACTCTGCAGAATATGAAAAGGAAAAGGTGTTAGATAGCTTAGGTCAACAAAGCTATCAACCTTTTCAATCAAGAAGAGGGAGGTTTCCTCCTTGTAGACACTGCCAAAAAACCAACCATGAAGAAAGGAGATGTTGGTTAAAAAGAAAATCTCAAATCCAGTGCAGATTTTGCAAAAGATATGGCCATATGGAGAGAGATTGCAGAGCTAAACAAGCTTAGCGAACTCAACAAACACAGCAACCTCAATACAAACCAAAGCAACAGTAGAAAGCAAATTATGTTGATGAACATGCACAACAAAATTACCTGTTTGTAGCTTTCTCGAGCAGCTCTTCAACTTCTGCCAGTTCCTGGTATATTGACAGTGGTTGTACAAGCCACATGGCTCGAGATGAAAGTATTTTCTTGGACTTGGACAAATCAGTGAAAACAAGTGTCAAGCTTGGAAATGGCACGGTGGTTTTCTCACAAGGAAAGGGAACAGCAGTAATCCCAACAAGTTCAGGTACTAAGCTAATTTCAGATGTGTTATTTGTGCCCAGCTTAAGTCAAAATTTGTTGTCTGTTGCTCAGATGATGAAAAAAGGCTATTCTTTGTCATTTAAAAATGATTTTTGCTATATTCATGACTCATTTGGAATGGAGGTTGCTAGAGTTAAGATGGTCCAAAACAGTTTTCTTTTAGATATGCAATCTGTTCAGAAATGCTTGCATGCTTCTAAAGTCAATGATACACTTTTGTGGCATAAGAGATATGGCCATTTTAATGTCAAAGCATTGAAATACATGCAAACTAATGAATTGATCAGAGACTTTCCAGAAGTGCATGTAACTAATGAAGTGTGTCAATGCTGCCAACTTGGAAAAATGCATCGGCTATCATTTCCTATCAACAAGGCATTTAGAGCTTGTGAAAAGCTAGAGCTTGTCCATACAGATATTTGTGGTCCCATGAGAGTTCCTTCTTTGGGCCAAAACAAGTATTTCATTCTATTCATTGATGATTTCACTAGAATGACATGGGTTTACTTTTTAAGTAGCAAAGCTCAAGTGTTCTCAGTGTTCAAGAAGTTCAAGGCCTTGGTTGAAAACCAAAGTGGATGTAGAATTAAAAAGCTTAGATCAGATAATGGTAAAGAATATACCTCTGCTGAGTTCAATAATTTTTGTGAAGAGGCCGACATCCAACACCAACTTACAGTCAGCTATACTCCACAACAGAATGGAGTTTCTGAGAGAAAGAACAGGACAGTTACGGAAATGGCCAGGTGCATGATGTTAGAGAAGAAGCTACCTCAATCTTTTTGGGCTGAAGCTGTGTATACAGCAGTATATCTGCTGAATGGTGTTTCCACTAAAGCTGTCAAGAATAAAACACCAATTGAAGCTTGGTACGGCATGA